ACAAGCTGAGTGGATGTGCCCTCTCAGCCATTCTGCCATGGTGCCTGCACAGTGCCCCCCAAATACTAATTTATATGTGAGTGCCTTAGTAGTTTCTGGGGAAAAAGCAAGGTGGGACAGTGAGAAAACACCTTGACTGTGAGTCTGGGGTCCCCAACCAGATTACGTGTAATTAATGAATTAAATGATGGAGTGGGCCATGTGACCTGGGTATCTTTATCTGTAGATTAGTTAGGGGAAATGACCTCTAAGATCCATTTTAGTTGCAGTGTATGTGTGTGTATATATATGTGTGTGTGTATATATATATATATATATAGTGTGTGTGTGTGTTTATCCATCCTCCTATGGGGAGAAAACAGCAGGTTCCCAGATAGGAAGACAGGGAAACGTAATTGAACAATGGCAAGCAGAGGGGTTTTGCTGAGTAGTAGGCTCTCCAGATGGCCCTGTGGAAGGACTGCGGGTGGGGCTGCTTCGCCCATGACTGCGGAGGTCCCAGCCATCACTGTGAGCAGTGCTACTTTCCGCAGCAGTCGGGGAGCCCCTGAAGCTTTCTGAGTAAGTCATCTCACAGCCAGACTAACTTCTTTTTCTGTTACTTATCACAAAATACCTCAAACTGGGTAATTTATGAAGAAAAAGAATTTGCTTCTTACAGCTTTAGAGGCTTATCAAATGCAAGGTCAAGGGGCTGCATCTGATGAGAGCCCTCTTGCTGATGGAGACGCTGTGCAGAGTCCCAGGCAGCGCAGGATGTCACGTGACAAGGTGCTGAGCATCCCAGCTTAGGTCTCCCTCTTCTTATAAAGCCACCAGCACCATTCCTGTGATCGGTTCATGAGGACAGAACCCTGAAGACCCATTCACATCTTAGAGACTCTACGGATCACACATAGGGGGATTAGATCTCAGCATGCGTTTTATAGGGGACAAATCTGCAAACCACAGCATGGACCAAGCAAAGACACACAGTAACCAGCAGCCTTGCCAGTGGACAAACCCTGACGGAAGCCCTAGGCAGGAGTTTATTATCAAAATTCAAGAAAAAGCTTGGAATTGGAGATAAGAGATTTGAGAATCTTCTGAGGCAAGATTGGAGTCACAAGAATAGAGAATGTAGGGAAGGGAGATAATATGATGCTTAGGATGAACTGTAAGGGTCACCAGAGTAGGAGGAGGCAGCAGAGAAGGTATTGTCAAGGACATAGCAGGAGGTCATCCAAGATTCCCAGGAGATGACAGCATTTCCAGAGCCAAGCAACATTCTGGCAACAATGCACAATGCTACAGAGGTTGGGCCTGAGCAAAGTGTATTGGAACTGGCCACAGGGATCTCACTGGTCACGTTCAAGAAAGCCACTTCAGTGTAGGGTAGAGGCAGGAACTTAATTACAGGCAACTGAGAAGAGTGGAGACAACGTGTGGAGTGTGGTTGTGGAAGGAAAAGGAAACCAGAGCAGTGACTTGAAAGGGTGGGAGGAGAGCAGACAGCAGTGTCCAGTGAAGACTGATTATTGCTGGGATCAATACACATGCCCTGAGGTCAGGGGAAGGAAGCCCTGGAGACTGAGAGACTGAGGATGCTGGACCTGAGTAATAGTGGGAGCAGAGCAGGCTCCCGGGAGGAGGGGGAAGGCACAGAGACGGGTAGTCTCAGAAAGGAGAGGGAACGCAGGACGGGTCATGGAGTTGGAGACAGAGAGGTGAGGGTGTGAGTACGTCATGTCTGCTGGATTTTATTTTTGAAGTAGCGTCTGTGGTTGGGTTATCTGATAAGAAAGTAAACATGGATGCCTGGGAGTACAGGAGACTTGCACTCATGCACAGAATAGCCTCTGTGGGTTTGGCACCTGTGAGCGCCACAACTTTTTGTTCATCCTTTTAATACGAAAGCAGGCCGGGGCACCATTCCCCAGCAGCCAGGTTGGCTCATCCACCTGGGGGAAGCACTGGCTCCAGCCATGTCAGTCCTACCAGGACTTCTCTCAAAGAGCTTATCAGATGTCCACGTGTATCCTTGTTTTCTCTTCATTGAGTTGAATTACTTTCAAAGAAAATGATAGCGTGAGTCTCAAGAGCCAACTGACGAGAGTTAGTTCTCAAGTCTCAACTTGACTGGTTATAGACCTAAACCTGTCCTTTTCTACTTGTAATTAAGATTGTCTTACGAGTCATGTGTAGTAATTTCAAGCACCTTAATTATCAGTGCAATAATTGGGAGGTTTCCGTGTTTTATGGGTCAAGTCAGTGCCAGTTTCATTGCTCTTAGCTAAGTAATAAGCTCTCTTAAAAGAGAAAATGTTCATCGTGCAGCCTGTTAACTGTTGAATAACCAGGATGCTAAATAACAAAGCTAATTTCAATGGTAGGCCGCAGCATAGGCAAAATGGGGGTTCAGTACTGGCTGGAAGCAATATCCTCACCATGGATCCTTTTCTCATACCTACCCCTACAATATCTGAGCTGGATAGGGTACAGTATTAGGAATCTCTTGGCTGCAAGTGATAAGAGAAACCCTACTCAAAATAGTCCAGCTTTAAAATTTTTTTAAAGACAAAGAATGTATTGATCTGTGTACTAAGGACATGCAGTGTGGGTTGGCTTCAGGCAAGGCTGGCTCTGGGGCCTAGACGGTGTGGCCAGGCTTCTCTCTCCAGCTCTTCAGGCCATTTCACACTATGTGTTGGCTTCATCATCACTGGAAGGCTCAACTCTGCATCTTTAGAACTTGGAATCCCAGCAAAAGACAGAGCCTTTTCTATCCAGTTTCCCGATACCAAACTCAGGACGCCTGTAGCATGTGCACACCCTTGTTGGTCATGGTGGCCTGAGGGATGGGCTCTGGTCAGCCTCCAGCCCACCTTCCCCTGGGACGGGGGTGCTGAGGCATCTCCAGTGATGTCTCCCCAGGATCGTGTGGAGGTGTTTCCCCCAGGGAAAACCTAAAGAAGAAGAGGGAAGGGACACTGCGTTAGCAGAAGTCAGTGAAGTCCACATCAGTGCCCAAGCCCCAAACCTGAACAGTAGAAACCAGACCGTTCACAGTCTGGAGATACATTGGGAAGGCTTGGAGAGTGTCTTATGTGCTGGGAATAATGGTCTTCCCTGGATGGAAGACTTCCCCAGACTGAAGCAGTGATGCTTCTCCCAGGTCCTGGGCTTGGGGGCGGTGAAGGGCCGTGTAAAGTGACTGTGGGAGGAAGTGCATCACTCCCCAGGCACAGTTAAAGTCATCAGCTCCTCCAGGGTCTACACATCGATTTGAATTGGTTCCAATGAAATGGGTTTGGTTCAGCAATCATCTGCTTTCAGTCAGGCCAAAAGTAAATCAGGAGAAAGTGTTTGGGCATTGCAGACCCAGCTGAAAGCAGACAGTGCACTGGGAGATCTGTGAAGTTAATGTACATAAGAAGGGTGATGGGGAGAGAGAGCAAGAGGGGGAGGGGACCCTCAGACGCAGGTGTTGATGAAGATACCCTGACACCAAGAGTGTTGCTTTCCCTGGGCTGCTGCCTTTGCCGCCCACCATGCCTGCCCAGTCCTCCCTCACCCACCATGTGCCGATTTAGGTGGCTCCGATGCTCACCCTACGCTAGAGACCACAGCACTGTCTCCAGAAGCCTGTTTAAAATGCCATTTTCCCTATCTCCTCTCCCACAACACCTACAGGCTGTGTCTTGATGAAACCTCTGTGATAAGACAGACAATAAGAGTGGTCCAATGGGAGTGATGTTTTGCCACTTTTTAAACCACAGTGACAGCAGAGTGACTAGTCTCCTCCCCTCCCTGACTGATAGCCAGTCTGCTCAGCACATCAAAAATCCCCTTCATCTTTCAGATATTTATGTAAAATCTGCTTGAAAACAGATCCAGGAAAGTCAACTCAGAAAAGCTTTATTTAAAAAGGCTTTACTTACTAATTACCTTAGATAGTTGAGAAAAACCTGGTAATCTCATCAGATAGGATGCTAGCAGAATTAAAGTGCAGCTCAGAAAAAATATAAATCATTTCTTTTCCTTCTCTTTATAATTGAACAACAAAAATGTTTGTAATTTCCAAATGGCCATTAGATACCACAGCAAAGCCTCCGTGAATGAAACCATCAGAACTTGGTTCTCAAAATAAGTAGGAAACTCAATGAAAGGTCTTGGTACAAAACTTCAATAGTAGTAATAGTCCCATTCCACTTGTACTCAATATTCAGTATTTTGTCGATGTTCATATAGTATGGATGATTCTCTTATTGGAAGTCTTCCTTCTGGACAGACTGGTAGGTTTAAGGTTATTTCTTTTGGTCTTCCTGGCAATATTGTGAGATGGGTGTTATTAGCATTATAACTTTACACATGAGAAATAGAGGCTCATGGGGGTTAAGAGTCTTGCTAAAGCCACACAGCAAAAAAAAAGCATGGAGCCGGGGCTCCCCCTCCAGAGCTTTGCCTCTGGTCTAGGAAGCTCTCCCCGGGACCATTCCTTGATTTGTCCTCTTTCCCTGCAGTTCTGTCACTGCTGCCTTCACGCAGATCATCAGCCTTCCTCACACCCTCTGCTCCCCTCTTACCCTGGTTCAGGGAGCCTAGGTGGCAGGATGGGCCACCACATGGCCCACTGCTGTTATTCCCCAGACAGTGTGGATTGAGGACTTGCCTGGAAGATTCTGGAAGCCATACAAGCAAGGAACTAAGCTCTCCAGCATGCTTTCCATCTTGGCTTTGTTGCATGTCTGAGAAACATTTGGGTTAATTTGCTTTTATATTGAAGAAAAACCAAAACTCAATGTTTAGAAACTAGACTTGTCTTGGAAGAGGGGGCAGCAGGGAGCCCAGAAAGTAGAAATTTAACTCTGAGATCTTTTCAGATCATGGGATGAATGTATATTTTGACTGTTTTTTCAATCTAGCCATCACCCGTCTGCCCCACCCCAGCCCCCACAGCCTTTCTTCCTGAGGGCTGGAGCCCTCGGTGCTGATGTTTTCTGCTCTGTCACTTCAATCAGCTTGCCTGGGCCCAGTGGCCGGGGCCCTGGAACCCGAAGGTGCTGACAGAGATGACCTGCTGCTGTTGAATGAGATCTTCAACGCTTCCTCTCTGGAAGAGGGCGAGTTCAGCAAGGAGTGGGCGGCCGTGTTTGGAGACGGCCAACTGAAGGAGCCGGCACCGACGGCAGCCTCGGGAGAGCCGGACCCCAAGCCTCACATGGGCTCAGGCTTTCTTCCTTCTCAACTGTTAGACCAAAACATGAAAGACTTACAGGCCTCCCTACCAGGTAGGTACTGTGGGGATTGAAATGGGCTTTTTTTGTTTGTTCATTCTTTTTTGTTTAATGCAAAAGCATATTTCTTCTTTCTTTGTTTTCTGTATTTTTATCTTATAGTCCAGTGACTTTTTTAGCTGGTCTCCGAATTATATTCCAACTTCAAGATACATTGCAGGATTTAAAATATATTCCTTTTCATGATCTTCCCCCTGTGTTAACATTTCCTGTCTGTCAGTAGAGGGTTCCGGGGTGGTTCTCCGGTGGACTGTCTTGCTTGGCTTTTAGATGTTCTTGTGGCATGTTAGAGGAGCAGGTTGCTCCCTGTTGGCTTGGCGACCACCCTGAGTTCTCCACACTCCCGAGATCAGGCTCTCTTCCTGGGTGCTTTTGACATTGCCCTGTTCACTCTTTGTCACACTGAGTTTTACTTCGCACTTGCTCTGGCTCCCTTTCTGTCCTGACCTAACCTGCCCTGAAGATCCCCCCAGCTCAGCTCTTCTGTTCTGCCTAAAACATACAACCCATCAGAAACAGTTCACACACTGATGGCAAGGGGTCTGCAGCATCAGTTAGGTGTTCAGAGCACGTCGAGTCTGGTGCCATCAGAGCATTGCCGTTAAGGGAAGCACGGTGGTTGACAGTGCAAAAATAAAAACTCAGGTTGAAATTTAAAGTTCAGAAGTTTGGGTTTCTAAACACACAGACCTCAGGAAGGAAACCACTTTCTGGTATCTCAACACTTTTTTTTTTCCTTTTATGTAACTTGTCTTGTAAGAGGAGAATCACTATGAAGAAGTTTTGAAACTCTTTTAGTATGAATTTAGGCTGTCTCCTTTATGGACAACATGTTTACCTCTAGCACCTAAGGCTGAGAACAAACAGTGGAGCTAAGTGATTAAGTAATTATGGGCTATTACAACCTCAGGTCTTTGGAGATGAGATCATGGACAAGGAGCTGGTGGGCAAGACAAAAAAAAGTCTTCCCCTCTTTGTTATAAGTACATGACTCCTTTTATCTTCCTTTGTGAGTCCTATTTTGTAGCCATCTTGTTTACTTGCAGTAACGGAGTTCAAGATAGCAGGATAAATGAAATCCAAAAATGTTTCTCCACCCTGAGTTTCAGCATCTCTTTCGCTGGAACTCCAAACCAGCCATGCTGCCAACTGACTGGAGTTTCACCACCCACCTGTGGTGGAGGTGCTAACCACAGGTGCTAAGATAGGAGCCTCAGCCCATAACTTAGGGCCACTGAAAACTCTCCAGCCATGTTGCAGAATCAACCCCACACAGACCCCCAGCTTTGGAAACACAAGAGCGACAGTGTTCCCACTTAGCCAGGTGGCTGAGTATCAGCTGCTCTGAGAGTCCGCACATGCCCACAGATAACCAAGGAGTCAGAGCTTCACGCCCTCTTCCTGAGCAGAGCTCAGCTCAGGCCCACTCTTAGGGCTCCTGGAACTACGCCTGACAGCACCACTGATGAAGACAGTGGCCATGGGGAATTGCCCGTCAGCCTTGCCCCAAGAGCAAGGGAGAGGCACCAAACCACACTCAGGGCTAAGGAAGGAGGCGTTCCAACAGGAAGACAGAAACAGAAGCTCATTCTGTGGAAAGGGAAAGAGATTCTACAAAGGGAGGCCGCGCAGTCCTCGGGCAAACCGAATTTCATGTGAGGTTGCGAGGTCGCCATCCTGCCGGCACCATGGCAAGTGTCTCAGTCATTCACCACAGATTTCTGGAGTCCCTCTGTATGCCAGGTGCTGGGGATTTGAGGACAAAATAGGCAAGGTTCACTGCAGCCCTGAAATCACATTTTAATGGGGAAGAGACAGACAATGAACCATAAGCATAATAAATAAACAAAATATAAAGAAGAAAAGGAAAATGTGGAGCTGGGGACAGGGCCTGTTAAGGCTGGCAGGGTAGGTCAGACTGCAGAACTGAATACGGTTCTCACTGGGGAGATGATTGCTGAGCAGACACTTACAGGAGATGGGAAGTAGCCATGTGGGCTACAGGAACAGCCCTCACAAAGTGGGCACTAATATGAGGACATGCCAGGTGTGGTCGGGGGTCTGCGGGAGGTACACCATGGTTGGCACCAACTGAGTGACTGGAAGAGGCTGTCAGAGGCCGCTTAAGGCCTCACAGCTATTGAAAGAACATAGGCCTTTTTCTAGCCCAAGTGAGACTAGGAACCATCACAGCATCTTGAGCCAACGAGATATGATCTGATTTACAATTTAAATGGATCATTCTGGTAGCTAAAAGTTTCCTTTCCTCGGCTGGGGTTCTATCAAGATCACTATTAAAGGAGCTATCTAGTAGCAAGTTTCCTTGCATATAAACAACTACCCATCAAATGTCTGTGGAATTGAAATGATAGGGAAGACAAGGTAAACCTAAGTGGCTGAAAGCAACAGCCCACACATTCCTGGCAGGTGCAGCCCAGGTTCTAGCCCTGGTGCCTCTGCCAGTTTGGACAACCTTCAAAACGTGGTACAAATAAAGACAGGCTCTCTAACTCCAGGCTGATCATGTGACCAAAGCATACCCACGCTTTCTGCTTCTACCAGGCCTCTCCCAGCTCCCCCAGAAAGAGGAAAGGATGAATGAATGTTGTGGCCCAAGACTTTTTTCACTACATCTCTGGCCTAGAAAATCTAACTATAACCTGGGTAGTTACATGTACATAAAAGTTTAATAATAATTGTTAAACTTTGGCCGTGTTGAGCAGGCCACCTGCTTCCCCTAATCAATCAGATCATCTCAAAGACCCATTCAATAAACCACTGGAACAATCCAGCAGCCAGACCAGAGCACAGACCAGTGAGACAGTGGGAGGGCACTTAGGACCTGATTTTGTCCCACAAGCCCCTCACCCCTCTGCACCTTGCAGTGGGTGGGCAGGCCCCTCCAGCACTCTGAGCCATTACTGTCTCATCTGCAGAATGAAGTATGTGACCCCACTTCTTATCCTTCTGTCCTCTTCCCATTTCCTGGGTCATTCCCCACTTCAGAAAAGCTGAGATACAAAATTGTTACTCCGTGGATTTGCATTTGTAGGTGGTAAATGACAATAGCCAGCACTCGGTGTGGCGTGCACTGTCGGGCCCTGCCCTGCATGCTGCTGACACACAGCAGCTCATTGGATCCTCACCACACCTTCCCGGGAAGCTGCTGTCGTCACCTCCATTTTATAGCCCAGGAAGCAGGAGAGAGCAGCTAAGCAGTGTGCCTAGGATCACACCCAGGGAGGAGGCTGACTCAGGAGTCCCTGCCTCTCACCATCACCCTTCGTGGCCTCTCGGTTCAGTGTCTCTGATGGAAAAAGGCAGTGATTCCCCAGGAGGGCCCCGCAGGCCTCGCTTTGGAAGCTGCCAGAGAAGCAGGATGTGCAATCACCAGCGTGACCTGGGCATCGTCATCACAATCAGGGACCTGGACACCGAGGCAGTCAGAGAAGCATTGTGGGTGTGTGAGTCAGAGTCCCTGTCCTCACAATGGCCGAGGGATGCTACAGAGTGGAGCATTCGAAACTGAATTGTCCCAGGAAATCACAATCACATGCGCCCAATAGCCCATAGTCTACACGTTCACTCTGGCACATTCATGCTGAGTCTCCTGTGAGGGGCTGGGGACAGAGCCTCCCTCTGCAGCCCTGCTGCCTCCTCCTCCTCCATCTCTCCTGTTTCTTCCCTCCCCATCTCCCTAAATTCTCCCCTGCCTTCCTCCTGTCTCCTTGTTCTGCCCGCAGGCCTCTGGGACTGGGACGCAGAGAGGAAGGCTATAGGGCATAGCAGTCACATCTGCCTTCCCTCCTACCTTAAGCTCTAGGACAGGTGTCCTCAAACTGCGACCTGCAGGCCACATGCGGCCCACCGAGGACATTTATCCAGCCCGCCAGGTGTTTTTGCTGCCACCGCCTGTCCTACTTAGCAGCCATCTCATCCCGTCCCGGGGCCACAGTCCAGCCCTCCAATGGTCTGAGGGACAGTGAACGGGCCCCCTGTTTAAAAAGTTTGAGGAGGCCTGCTCTAGGAGAACCAAAGGACAACACCGAGGGTCAAGTGTGCTGAAAATTTGAAGAAGTTAATTTTTGCTGGAATTTCTAGGAATTTCTGAAGTTATCAGCACGATTGGGGCTGGGATTCCCTGTGTCACACGGTGATGAGAAAAGTGTGCCCTCTGAGGCCTCTTGGCTGGCGTGAGTAGGAGAGCCAGCCAGACGCCACCTGGCTGGAGACATGCAAGGATGGAGCCTCATAGTCAACAGTCTCTTCGATTCTCCACCAGGAGCCAAAACTTAATTTAGAAGTAGACACTGATACTGGAGAGATTACCAGCTGCTCAAAATAAATGCACCAGGACAGCTTTTAATTTGGGATACTGCAAACCACAGTTAGGAGTCTGGTTCCAGATACTCAAAAACACACAGCCTTCTGTTCCCTCAGGATATTCTTTTGTCCTAAGATGCTGTTGCCATCTGGAAGGGTTTCCATTTAAGACTAACGTAACAGGAGGCTTTGGGTTGTATCAAACTCACCTTTCCTTCAGCAGAGCTCACTTCTTTCCATCCCTGGCTTATCCTGGCTCCAGGTGACTGACATTCCCAGTGCCCAGTACTCAAATGGAATCATGTAAAGACTTTGGGTGCCTTTATAGTTTGAATGAACAGGCACTCTCAGCCCAAAGCAGCCTGTGTTCTATGCCTGCTGAGAGCATTCCCAAAGGAACCAGGACCAACACCACCCCCATTTCACAGATGACAGAATCAAGGAACCCCAGGAAGGCCTCATGACTTGCCAAGTTGTTGCAGTGTATTGACATTTGAGTGAGGTCTGACTGCTCAGCATGGTTTACAAGGTCCTCCTGGCCCTGGCCTGGCCTCTGCACCACCCCACACCTCCCGCACCTCTGTGTAGCGTGTCTTCATGGCTTTGTTCCGCTGGGGAACATCAGTGTACCTACTGTCCCCCACCCTTGGAGCCTCTGCACGTGCTGGCCC